TTCCGAACACAAGGAAATAGTCTGCTTTTAAGACATCCACACTACTGTTAGTACTCTGTGTGGGTAATACAAGCATGCTGTTTGGATAGTGCACATGCGGAAGCACACATGATATCCACTCAGTAATGCAGTACAGAAATATTACCTGTGCTATTTACAATCTGTAACAAAGCAACAGCATGCCAACTTTTTACTATGGAACCGTCAAGTTAAATACCAGCATGTCTGGTCCGACTGTGTCAGACATTTGCGTTCTCACATTCACCTCCTTAGGGTGAAAACTGTTTAGCCAACATCCCTCCAGCAGCCCGAGTCTGAATTCATGACATTTTTTTGGCATATTATAACCCGGCTGTCAGCATGACACAGCATTTTCTCATCATTGTGTCATGCATGCCTACGGGGTGTCTGGTAGTTGTATTGACTGTACTGTTTTTGTTTAACTCACACCAATATCATTCTCAACACTGCAGTTTTTAACATGACCACTGAAATGTCGCTACTATTGATGCTTTTAGCACATCTTGACCATCTGCAATCTTTGTTTTTACATTTCCTAAACAAGTGACTCAAAGTCTGAGTGTTTCAAGTATGTTTCTTTAAACATAACAAGAGAAAATAAAGACAAAAAAGAACAAGTGTTTGATATGCTACGCAAACGATTATGTGAACACTTTGCACAAGTGCTGCTAGGTTGGGTTTGTGTGTTTTACCTCAATCAGTGTCTTCATCTTGGTTCTGTGCATATCCAGCTCTTCTGTCACACTGCTGTTCTTCAGACTAAGCTCAACCAGCTGGGCCCGCAGAGGGGTCACTACCTCATAGAAACGCATCTAGGGACACAGCACAAAGAAAATATCACCTTGTTTCTTGATTTCTTTATATGTTGTCCTTTCTAATGACCAGTAGAAGACCACCTCATACTCACAGCTACATATTCCTGTATAGATATTTTGTCCTCAGGAAGACCACGAAGCTCCTGGTATCTGTCCTGGGAGAGGTCCAGATCCCTGAGAGACCTCCTCAGTTCTCCAGCCTTCTCACACAGCTGTCGGTTAGTCTCCTCAAGCTGCTGCTGCCTGAGCAGGATGGCCTCCATCTCCTGCTTACGCAGAGCCTGCTGCTTCCTGGTGATGATAGCCTTTTTTTAACAAAGTTGACATTTGACCTCAGCAGCTAAATGATGGGACGGAGGGTATATGTAGTTTTATTAGGTAAAAATTACATTACAATGCACTATAGAAGCTCTGCTTATGCATGTTCAAGCACACATAATTGTGTACTTTAACATGCATAACACGCATATTCTCTTTCACTGCATCCATCAATCTTCTAAGCAGTTTGTATACAAAGTTAGAAAGGCAAGGTTGACATGGTTTGGACACGTGCAGTGCACAGATAACTGATATATCTGATATAATTGTCGGATATATCAATTATCAACCACTGGACATACTGTATCAATTATTCACGCACTGCACGTGTCAAAACCATGTCAACTTTGCCTTGTTGGAAATACTGCTCAATAGCCTAAGCTGTATATGCATTTCTTGTTCCCAAACATGACACTGATGCTACAAAGGGCACAGGGCAGACACAACATCTTGTGTGATGTAATACAATGAGATATGGGGGCAGGGGCCACGTCTATAAGAGTGCTGCTTTATATGCACACATAAAGACTTCAATTTAAGTGTTTATGTCTCGGAAAATATAACTAGTCATGAAACCCCTGCTTTGGTTGTGTCCTTTCTCACCTGTTCTCCTCCTGAGTAAGTTTCAGCTGGTTATCCAGTCTTAGGACCAACACTTGTTTCTGATGCAGGGCGTCATTCAGCCTCTCCTCCAACTCCTCAATCTGAAACACCAGATATTTTATTATAGACGCTTGAATTCAATCACAAAACTATTACTGCAACAATGATGCTGCAGTACAAGGTCGTTTTTCTCCTAACCAGGGGAAAAGTTACACCCAGATGTCTACAGAAACACTGTCCCCATTTCCCACCCCAAGTCTACCTTTGACATATGATCGGCCTTCATGTTGTCTATGATGAGATTCTTCTGAGATAGCTCGATTTTAAGCAGCTGGATGTTGTGCAGCAGCTCCTTCCTCTCGATCAGCTGACGGGTCACCTTCTGGGAGCCGTTCCGCTGCTCGTCGGACGAGGAGACATCCTCGGTGGTGGGCACGGTAGTCTCCAAGCTGATGTCCTCAGACTCTAGGTCCAAAGAGCTGGAGACGTTGGCTGCAGTCGGCTTGAGATGCTGCTTCTTCGGAGGCATTTTGT